CGCCTACTGTAGACTCAACGTACAGCTGCTTGATGACACCGACTTCAGAGAAACCTTCAAAGCATTTTGGGCTCAGTGGCTGCCTGCCAAAGGAAGCTTCAGCTCCCACCAGCTATGGTGGGACAACAGAAAGTCGCAGGTCAGGGCTCTCTGTCAGCAGTTCATGAGCCAGCACGCCGCCGCCAAGAACGAGGTGGCGCGCCAACTGCAGAACGAGCTGCTGGCACTTGAGGCGGAGCTGAGGTCATCCCACGGCACACAGCAGGGTGAGACGCTACTGGAGAAGCAGCGGCTTTTCAGGTCCATCACGGACGAGCAGGCACATCGTGCTTTTGTGTGCAAAAAGATGCAGCACCTGTCGCAGATGGGCTCTCCCTCTAAGTTTTTCTTCCGCTTAAACAAAGCACCGGCCAACACCACAAAAATTTCCAGTTTGCGAACACCAGATGGACAAACAGCAACATCTGAGAGCGAGATCGCCAAGACCGCCAGGGATTGCTACTCTCAACTTTTCGCCGCCGAAACCATACACGACGAGGCTGTCCAGGAGCTACGGGATGGGGGCCCTACCTTAGGAGTCCCCAAGCGGGATCGTCTGGACAGCCCCGTCACCCTGCAGGAGCTCCACACCGCTGTGAAAGGGCACGCAACAGAGAGTCTGCAGAAGGGTGAACTCCCACAGAGCTGCAGGCGAGCGGTGGTCTCCCTGTTACCCAAGAAGGGGGACCTGCGCCTCATTGAGAATTGGCGACCCGTGTCCCTCTTGTGCACTGACTACAAAATCTTCTCCAAGGTGCTGGCAAACCGTCTCAAGACAGTGCTGGGTCAGCTGATCCTGCCGGAACAGTCGTATTGCATCCTCAGACGGTGCATTTACGACAACACCGGTACGGTCAGAGACATAATCTCCCTTGCAGAAGCGCACAACATGGACTTAGGCCTCCTCTTCTTGGATCAGGAGAAGGCCTTTGACAGGGTGAGCCACGAGTACTTGGACAAACTCCTAATGTCGCTCGGCTTCGGCCAGGCCTTTATCTCGCACGTTAGGCTGCTGTACACAGGGGCACGTCCAGCCTCTTGAAGATGAACCAGAGGCTCAGCGCCCCTTTCCCTGTGACGAGGGGGGTCAGACAGGGATGCCCCCTCTCGAGGCTGCTGTACACCCTATTCATTGAGCCACTGCGACGACATCTGAGATGAAATCTGGCTGGCCTCAAAGTCCCGGGACCTGAGAACGCGGTCGTCAAGCTCTCGGCTTACGCAGACGATATATGCGTCGTGCTCAATGATGCGTATGACGTCTCCGCGCTCTGCCAGGCGGTTGCTGTGTACGAGAGGGCCTCCTCTGCCAGGGTCAACTGGGCCAATTGCAAGGCCCTGTGTTTGTGGTCGCGAGGCGGCGTTCGTTCTGTGCTCCTCCCAGGAGGAGTCATTTGGTAGGACGACGGAGTCAAGTACCTGGAGGTTTACCTGGGGAAACCACGTGACGTCGTTCTGAACAACTGGACCGAGCTGGCCGACACAATCGAGGCTAAATTACTGACATGGGCGCAATGCCTCGCTCCGCAGATGTCATTCAGGGGCCAAGTGCTCGTCGCTAACACCCTGGCTGCATCCGTGCTGTGGCACAAGACCAAGGCCCTCCAGCCTCCTGCTTGGCTTCTCACCAGAGTCATCTGCTCACTCGCGCACTTTGTCTGGCATGGGAAGCACTGGCTCAGGCCGGGCGTCCTCTGCCTGCCGATGGGCGAGGGCGGCCAAGGTCTGGTGGACGTGGCCGCCAGGGTCATGAGTTTCAGGCTCATGGTAGTCAGGCGGCTGCTATACGACCGGGAGGAGCTACCCTGGAAGTCGCCGGCCCTTGCCCTGCTGAGGAATGCAGGGGGGTGCCTGGGGTATGGAAAGGAGCTCTTCCTGATGGACCTGAGCCTGCTCGACTACTCGAGGCTGCCAGGTTATCACCAGAGCCTCTTGGATGCGTGGCGGAGCTTCGAGTGGAGCAGAACTCGCGTGTCCTATGACCTCGCGCAGTTCCTGAACGAGCCCTTGTTCTACAATGGCCTCTTCCAGGGGATCAGAGGAGAGAGGACCCTGGCTCTACGCCTCACATCAGCAGGGCTGCGGACAGTCTTCCACCTCGTGCAGGCCCACCAGCCCAAGTGGAAGACCGCAGCTGAGATCGCCAGCACTGCGGAATCCCGCTCCATGCTCACTGGGGAAAAGCTGCTGCGGGATGTGCTCCGCGCCATGACGGAGCTGCGCCTGAAGCTGGAGGCACCGGGGGATGGTGGCGGCCCTCCCTTCTCCTCTTTCTCCTTCCACGAGTTGTGCTTCTCTTGCACGCAGCCCCCTTGCAACAGCGACTCCGGCAAGCTACTCAAGCTCCGAGGCTGCAGGAACGTGCCCCTGAAGAGCGCCCCGAACACAGCGCTCTACACGTGGCTGTGTCAAGGCGCTGCATTGCCGGGACCTGGCCGACCTACCGGAGACAAAATGGAGGGACCATTTCTCTCTCCTTATTGTGGCCGCTCCTCAGTGGAAACAAATGTACAAGTCTCCCGTAGCCAAACGCTGTGGTGACCTCCAATGGAGATTGGCACACTACACGTCACCATCGGCCGTGTGGCTCAGTCGAATCTCGCCATGGGTAATGGACTTGTGCATTTACTGCTGTGCCAGTGAGGATCTGTCTCACCAGTACTTACGCTGCCAGCGGCTCAAACCAATGTTCCGCCTTTTGGGGGACATCTTCAGGAAACTGAGGGTATCCTTCTACAACAGCAGCTTCGTATATGGGGTGGTGCCTTACCTGGCTAACAAGCGCCATGACCTCGCCAACTTCACTGTGCTCAGGCGAAGATAGGGTGTACAGAACGAGGAAAAATATGCTGGAAGGTGACAATGACGGCTGCTCTGTGCTTCCAGTGTTCAGGGGCCTCGGTTGGAGCACGCATACCACACACATGTCGGTGATGTGCACGTCTTCTTCGAACGCTGGGGAGCCGGACAAGCCCCTCTCTGTACCAGCGTGGACAGCACCCCACGTATTCACCTTCTGAAGCGCTCGCTCGTCGCCGTGGCGTGCGTGATGACCACCACCACCACCACGTGACTTTTCTTTCGTGTGGTGCGCGGTGCATTTAGCGCCACAGCGCGTGGATTTATAGCGGTTGTTTATTTGTTTGCTGGTGACTTTGTGTATTTCATATCGGAATCGCCTCCAGTGCTGTTGCTGCTGGCGGCAATAAAAGTTGTTTAAAAGTCAAAAAGTCCGAAGGGCCAAACACGATGCCATCCAGATGGGTCGTGGAGCAAAGGATCCTCAGACTCAACATCAAGGTACTCTCCCGGGCGACGTGCGAGCATCTCGCGGACGTGATTAAAGATGCATAACTTTGGCGTCCTCATGCTTTCAAGAAATCCATGTCCCCGGTGTGAAACAGGCCAGTCGCTACTCTATCCATAGATACAACTAGCGACTAGCATACTACCACCCAAAATGTATCCTGGTCACATACGCGTGTGCGCGTGTGTGTGAAGTGCGCTCCTCCTGCATCATGTGGCTCGCATGCAAAGCCACCGCATACCCAAGCAGCTTCTGCTTGGCATAATAGAGGGTTGGGGGGTTAAACTAATGCAGCACGGGCTGGAGGTGACATTGATTGTCTCGGTACGGAACAATGTGAAGCTGATTGAACTTGGAGATGACCGGTACCAGCGGTGTCATGATCGGCCTCGGTGGAGGCTCGTGATGGACGCTGCTGGGCAATTGGAGGCAGTCGCGCTCCAGCAACATCGGAGGGCGGAGGAGCGATGCTCACAACAACGAGCGGAGCATTTGGCGTCTAAAACGCAGCAAGTTGGCACATTGGGAAGCACATGTGTTGTATCTGCCAGTCATCTCAGCTGGTCAACCCCTAGTGAGCCTTTGAGTCTTCACGTGGCATAAAGGTGGACCTAGCCTGGCACACGCCCCGTGATGGCGTCACAGCCACTTAGTGGTGAACGGCAACTGTTGTGTTTGTTTGTGCGGGGGTATCGAAGGGAGTCCATTGAGAGATAAGAGGGGAAGGGTGATGGGGGGGGGGTGAAGGATGCAGGCAGAGCGGTGGGGGTAAAGGGGATGGGTGGGGGGGTATGGGGGAGACGATGAGGGATCGAGGGGAGGGGTGGTGGGGGGAGGGTGATGGAGGGGATGGATGGTCGAGGCTGTGGCGGATGGAGGATAGAGGTGGAGGATGTCTGTGTGTATGTATGTTGAACTTCTTAGGCAAGGTACGTAGTCAACCGTGCTAATCGCAGGTTGCGGAGCAGTTTGTGTTTGCTCATCACACGAGGAAATTATGTTGTAGCTAATAAAAATAGTAATAAATTTACTGCAATGGAAACACTACACCTCCAAATCTTTTGACTAAGCCGATATAATTCGTGGCCAATAACGAAGACTCTGACCAAACCAACATTTAACAACTGACTTAGTTGACTTTAATGGGTAAATGGAATCCTCGAACTTGAGTCGAACTCCATAGGTCGTTGTTGACTAGACTAAGCCTGTGACGAAAAAAAATCGTGACTAAATTAAGAAATGGGTGTGGGAAACAGATCACATATCACTTACCACTTACGATAGCATTGGCCATAATTCAAATGTATATTTTTTTGCCGGATTCATAACCACTGCGCCACCACTCCACCTGCATCAACCTCACACGATGGGTTGTCACGTTAGACGAGTACAAAGACCTTCGAATAAGCCTCCCACATTGCCGCAACAGGATATTCAAATATTCAAAGCGTGTGCATGACGGGCCGACGATATTAAAAAGTTAATGATTGGCATCCTCGTGATACGTCATTATGGGGGTTACGAGTATTTTTAACAAAGCTCCCGGCCAGGTCAATTGCCGTTTCATGATAAGGGGGGTAGGGCGGTGGGGGTTAGTGGGGGTGGAGGCAGCTACCAAGGTGTCGAATTATCCACGCTCGCTGGACTATAAAAGGCACCCACGCGTGTTGTAACATAGTGCAGAACAATCTTCTCCAGCCGCAGCCGCTGCTACCTGAAGAAGCCAGCTTGGAAAAAAAACAACGGTCCGTGTCACCGAGTCGATCATCTACAAGCTCAAAGCAGACATGGGTGCGAGATTCCTTCTGCTGATCCTGGCGGCTCTTTGCCTCTCAGCGAATGGACAGTCGGTACGTACAGACTCCCACATCTTTTTTTTTTGGGGGGGGGGGCACTCGGTTCAGGCTTTATCGCACCACCCACGCTTATGTTTAAATCTCTAGGCGATTCCATGCAATGCATGTTTTGGAATAATCTTAGATGTTACGATGGAGAATGAATGAGCTGTGGTTATAATGTTAAAGCTGTTTATGCATATGTACAAATCGATAACATGTGGTGATGCTAATGATGCAGTTGTTTCAATTCATTAGGGGTAATATTACAAGACGTGTGTGCGTGTTGTGAGTTTAACGCGAATTGTCTCACATCACGTGAACAGCATAATGTATGCGCTCTGCCGGAGATTGCAAATCAATTGTGTAAATCTGTTCACGCTGTTGAAGGATATATGTGAATGGATTGAAACGTCGAGGCTTTCACGACCAATATTGTGATTCATAATTCGTTTTTTTGTGTCGGATAGTGTGAGCATGAGGTCAAGTTCGAGCTATGCACCCTCCCACTCCCCTGACACAGCCAAACCCAATCGAGTTGTCTCGTGGACAAATGTGACAATTCATTTTGTTGTTCACCAAATCGGTAAATTTGGGGGCGACAAAAGCTAGCATAAATGGGACAATTATGCACGACGTTTCACCGGAGATTGCAACCGGCATCATCAGGTACGGTTGTGTAATCTCCGGTGAAATGTCGTACGGAAATTGTCAAATTTTGCTTGCTTCTTTTCAATGTGAGTGGTTTTCTGAACATCAGAGAGCCGATTGGCGCGTGTGTTCACGCAACAAAACTCGATTTGTTTGGCTTTTGCTGGGTGATGGAGGGTGCATAATTGACATGATACCCAACGATCCAACCACCCCCCCCCAAAAAAAAAACCCATCGAATTATGAATTGCGATTTCCAGATACATCATCCCATTGCCAAGTCCCACAGCACAAGGGTTACATAGCAACAATATACACATTATAATAATGATTAATCATTTACAAGCCTTTGTCAATCGCATTGCTGGATGGAAGAGTTCTCCACACAGTGTTGGTCACAGGGCTTTGTTTGGCTTTACTTCACCACGCTGGTCCATGTTCATTGGTTCAAAGGTGGTAGGCACGGGACCGGTTAAGATATTACTCACCGCTGATGTCATGCGTAGCGGGAATCAAACTGTAATTGATTTGTTTCATCGCAGTGTGGTAACCATTGCCCCCGATCGCTTCACTCCTATATTGACATATGTACGTGCAATTAAGAATATCAATTTTAAAAATATCTCACTTTTACATTAAAAAAAAACTATTTTTGAAAAATTATGGTATCATTTTTTTGGCACTTAACCTTACCAGCATCCACAACTCAAGCCTTTTCAGTATGAAGAAATATATATTTATTTACCTCTATATTGCATAAATATATAAAAACTCAACAAATCCAGTGGACCAAGTCTTTTTTTTCAAGAGATTATGCACATCAGTAGGCTGTCACGTGGTTAAATGTAGGCTATATTACAGAATATGTATTTAGTGACACTTATATACCTAACAACTTGCCATGCAACACCAGCGTTTTTACATTTCAGCTTCACCAATGAAATTGTCATCACCACTAAAAAATGTCCCCATTTATACAATGTTAACAATGGTGTGTATTTTTGTATGTTACAGACAACGTTGCTTGATTCTTCGACTGCTGAACTCTCAACCATCCCCGCCACCACAACCTCCTCCACCACAACCTCCCCCGGCACAATCACCACCACCACCACCGCCACACCTGCCGCCTCCAAAACCACCTCGACCGTCGTCACTCCCACCACCAACTCAACGGCCGCCACCTCAATCACCACGGCCCAGCAAACCACCGCCAAGGCACCGGCGACGGCAACGGGCGGACTCGTTGCGGTGCTCCTCCCAGCAGCACTCGTCCTGGTGGCGTCGTGGTAGCAAGGGGACGCATCCAGCCCTGCAGTTGGTGCCAACACCCACCCCATGCCCCGTAACAACCCACCCCATGCCCCGTAACAACCCACCCCATGCCCCGTAACAACCCACCCCATGCCCCGTAACAACCCACCCCATGCCCCGGTAACATCCACCTCTTGACTCATAACATCCACTCCATAACATTCCCTTCCGAAACCACCAACGCCAGCAGCAGCAGCAGCATATGGCTACACAGGGCACAAAGATCCATCATCGTTGAATACATTTTGCACCCAGGCTTGTAGAGCAGGTTTATGCACGGCTAACTGGACGTAAAAAAAAAATCCACACCAAGTTGCGATTTAAGTTTTAATAGGTTGCAGTAATCAAACTTTAGAGGCGCGCATCTTACATCTAACAAACGTACGGCCGGATTACATCCCCCAGTGTGCAAAACCGAAGCGCTGCTCTTCACCACGTTTACTCTTTGATGTCTGCAAACAACTCGCAAAAAAAGCTAAATAACTCGGCAGTTAAATCCAATGGACATGGTAACTGCGACGTTGTAAATGGCCTCGCCTTTGTGTCTGGCTTATATGCGATGTCAAAAGCTAAAACGTTGATGCCAGCCATGTTTTAGTTTTTTATTGATCACGCGGAGTTAACGTTTGTGTGTGGGGGGGGGAAATAAATCTAACGCCGAATAACATCATCGCATTTACAAGTCACCAATCCAGCCCTGAACGTGTTATACAACATTGTGATACATCTACATAAAGCAATTCAGTAGCCTCAAATGAATTATTCTATCTTTAAACAAAAAAAAACCTGGTATATATTCTTTGCTGTGGCTTTTAAATATAGTGGACACATTTTAAACAATGCATAATCTTTCCATATATATGTTTTATACCTTTTTTGGAGGGAGGGGGGAGTGATATTTCAGGAACGGTTTGCCAAATCACTGTATCCGGATATAAGAGGCGAATTAAAGAAATTGCAATTAAAAACCATACCGCGTGATTCACATTCAAGGGCCACTTTCTCAGTGAACGATCGTGGCCGGCAAATTGCCGACAGCAAGGCAACCGTGCACGCGTTCCGAAAACAACAACCGTCAATTTTGTTACATGGCGTGTACATTGATAACTATGCACCGTGCGATGATCCCGGAGTGATTTCCTTCTTAAATTAAGCTATTTGTGTGAATCAATGTTTTTACGCCGATTTTTATAGTTAACAAAAAAATGCAAGTAAATTATACGTGCTGTGCCTATATATATAATGTGCATTGCAACCGGGGTGTGGGGAGAGCCGGAAGTCCATTATTTTATCGCCGATTTGCGCTATGCACTTTCTCAATAAATTGCTTTGGTTTTAATTTTTTACAAACGCAGTCTTTGCTTCCATGTGTCCGGTGATACATATCAATATAATGCATAATGTTAGAGCTTACATTGGGCTGTGTATACGATATTATACAATGTAGTTTAGATTGGAAGGTATAACATTGTAATGTATAGTAGTCTAGTTTATAACATAGTTGTAACGCAACACAGGACAGAGCAGCGCATCGTGGCTGTTTCTCCCCCCTCCTCCGTTCCGAGCATAGATGGACTCGTCCGTCTGAACAAAGCTCGTCACTTTCCGTGGTGCTAACGTTGAAAAGAAAAAACAGCCACCTTTTTTTTCGACATAGAATTGTAATGTATAACGTCTTATTGTTAGTGGCTCAGCTGATTGGAGAATATTTTGAGTTTATTGATAACATTGATGTAGTTTTAGTTTTAGTTTTTTTATCAGTTTACTATATGGTATTCATTATATAGTGTAGTGTATACCCAGTTACTTTATGTTAATAGCTTAACTTATTGAAGAATATATTGAGTACATTTATTATATTGATGTAGTTTATACTTAGTTCTTTCACATGACCAGTTACATGCTAATCCCTCACATTAACATCATGCTAATCTCCCAGTTACATGCTAATTTCTGACTTTAACACCCTGCTAATCCAACACTTTAACACAGCTATTTCAATGCTAAATTATTCTGTTGATATGTAAACTCCTTTGTCAAGGCGCTCTGCTCCTCCCACCCAGCTTAAAAGATGCTGCGAAGCTTAGCAGTGTTCATTGAAGCGCTGTCGTCCCGACAGTTCTGTTCCTTCACCTGAAGAAGGTTACTTGTGTTGTGGCCGAAACGTCGTGGGAATTTATTATTATTTTATTTCCATTCTACGTGATTTTACCGAAAGAACCAAGACGATGAATCCCTGCAGTCACGAAAGCTTTAAATCGAAATTTAAGTTGATAAATCGTGAAGCTGTTATTTGTGAATAATATAGGTTTCCGATTACAGACCACAATTTATTTTTTAATCGCTGTCTAATTTAAAGTGAGCTGAGCTAAGCTCAAAAGAAGGCCACACGCATCGTGGCAATTATGACACACTTTATTTGTGAGCAGAGGAGTTGGAAGAATGAGGAGTGGGTGGATGGGGAAATGAGCAGGGAGAGCGAGTGAGCTACTCTCATCAGATTAAAAATCAACTTGAATTTCCCTGGAAAGCCTCACTGACATGCAAGACTTTTTTTTTAGATTGGCATTTCATAGCGATGTTTCGCCAATACCACGAATGAGCGTCTGGCATGTGGAGAGAAACTGGAGTATCTAAAGAAAACTCACACATCTCTTTCGTATGCATCTGGATTTAAGCTAATTTGGATTTTTCACACAGACGCTCATAAATGTATCCGGTTTCCCAGCTATTTCACAAGGAAGATTCGTGACAACTATACATCAATGTCTCAGTTGTAAAACCAGCTGCCGACCTAAGAGCCTCGGACAACAACTTGCAGTGGACACGAGCTCGCAAAGCTTTCCACTGTGTTGCGGTTGCGCACGTGGGTGATCCTTTTAGTTTTGCATTTGTGGATAAGGTGATTGCTCCTGTACGTGGCCATTTCGATAATGATGTAGCCCGCTGCTAAATGCGGTGGCAGTGAACCTCCTGTTGGTGGAGGTTCACTGCAATGAGGTGCTTGTTCGGGAATGATGTTTGCGTTCTCCAAAATCGTTCCCGAACCCTTCGATTGTTGGCTTCTGCAATGTTCCGCAATTTTCTTCTTCCTCTATAGCATCCTCTTGCTCTTCAGCATCCTCTTGCTCTTCAGCATCCTCTTCTCCTTCAGCATCCTCTTCTTCTTCTCCTCGAGTTTAGGCGAATTGTTGTTGAGGTGCGGTTGCATGGGGCAGGTCTTTATCCTGGCAGCGGATGTATTCCCCCGGAGTGTTGCTGCTTTCACGGCGGAGGTGTTGCAGATGCTGTGTGGGAAAGTGGGGATGGACCAAGGTTGTGAGGTTTCAGCATAGTTCGTGCCGCACGAGAAGGGATAGCACTCAAAGTTCCACACAGAAAGAGTCAAGAAACAATTGATGTACGGAGAAAACTTCTGCCAACCTGGAAGCTCAAGCGTATAACACCTGGCAAATCCCAGGCAGTTTCCCGTTTCAGAACTAACAAAGTTAAAGCCTGCTTAGCTTATGCGATATGGTGAGATCGGGTGCAGCTCGGGGCGATTCGATTGTAAGCTCAACTAAGGCTACAGCAGCAGCTTTACAGCTATGATCCATTTTTTTTGCAAAAGCAAATATAGAGGAGACTTGGCAAGTGTGGGGGTCGAATTACCCCTCCGCGTTTGACTTTTTTCAGCGTCAGTCCTGATGATGACAGCTCGGCAAAGCGGCTGGGTTTATTTGTACACTTGTGCAAAGTAACTCCGGTAGATCTGCACCTTGGGCTGGAGAGATAAGACGCTGCGACGTGCACAGTTGTCAGTGCAACGCTTCTTTTAGATTCGCATGCAGGCAGGGATATATTTATCTTTTTTATTTTGAAGATATTGTATAATTATATCACATTTCAACATATTCGTCAGTTCTATGTATGTATGTTGAACGTCTTTCGCAATAGTGGCTTACGAAGGCATGCTAATAATCCACCTGCCATGGAGCTAAACGTGGCCGTTTGTCTTCGGTTCCAGTAATCTATGAAATCAGCAACAGTGAAAGGAAACTGATTAGATTACAGCCCTGCAATCGTGATTATCTCAGCCAGGCGCATATCCCTTTGTCCATATATTTTGTGGGAAACAAATGAGCACGCATCACTCGAAGAATGTCCGATCAAGGGAGGTCTATGCGGGGTTTTCCCCCTACAGAGATTAGAAATCGGACACAAGCTCTGTGGTGACTCATTCCTGGTCCTAAGTTTGCAGGCAGTCATTTGGCTTCTCTTCATCCTCCCCACCACCCCCTCCCAACGCTCTTGCCTCCACGACACATGGGTAGCAAACGGTTTTTTTAATAGCTGTCGAATTAATAACGAAGTACCCAGTTATTACGAGTGTCATTCACGACGCTGGTTAAATGCTAGAGCCCCTGTCCTTACCGACCATCACACCACTGCGATGTTGCCTGGGGCGAAGTTGCCTGTGTGCGTCATGAAAAAGCGCGACTCATTGATTAAGTTGTAAACATAGATATATATTCGTGTCACGTGGTGATACATCCATCACTTGACCTGGCACGTGTGATTGTGAAGGGACGGGGCAATTTATAAGCTTCATAAATGATATCTTGACTTAAAGCTTTCGTGACTGCAGGAATTCATACTCTTTGGGTCTTTCAGTAAAGTCACATAGATAGAATAATACAAAAAATCACGACGTTTTGATCGCAACACAAGCAATCGTCTTCAGGTGAAAAATACAATGAGAGAGCTGCTGAGTTTATAAATTATGGTTAGGGGCCCAAATCGTTGCTTTTCACTGTAGTACCAAATATCGATATGTACCATAATAGCATCATATATATTTTTAAGGAAGCGCCTGTATTGGGATTTGTTGCCAGTTACCCCGTGGTGGTTACCGGTTATGTAGTTATCCCGTTGTGGTTACTGGTTATGTAATTACCCCGTTGTGGTCGTAGAATAAACGTGTTGACTTCTGAATTAGTGTATCTCTCCAGTGAACCCACCACATGTATCAGAGCGTTTGTACCTCGGGGTGAGCAGCTAAGTATTGTCCTTCTTTGGCTGCCATTCCATCACCAGTCTCATCCATGAGCCGTCATCCCTTTTACCGATGATGTGTCCTGCCCAAGGCCACTTAATTTCCTTCACAGTTAACACGATGTGTCGAATATGTATTCTCTGCTCAAAATAGGCTGAACAGCATTAATTAAGAACGTGACCAACAACAACAACCCTGACATTACTGTGTGTGATACATTCCTCTTTCTCTCTCCAAAGACAAAGTGCATCTGTCGATGCTTCTTTGTAGACTTTCTGTTTGTGTTCCTTTCATTTAAATTAACGTCCATGCTTTTTATCTATATGCCACAGAGCATACGTTACACACTCATTGAACACTTTCCTACGAAGGCACATTGGTATTCATGGCTTTTCATTCATTGTTCACTCGCAAGATCATCGTGGTTTTATACTGACATTTGGTACGTTTTGTACAGCACATAAAGACCTGCCAGAGAATCTGAGAGGTGGGCGAAAGAGGACCATGGGTGTTGGATAACAGTAATGGCTTTTGAGTGAGCAGTGAGGTCCGAGTGGAGAGGACAAACATGTGCAGAGGGAGAGGCATGGCCTCTGTAATCCCACTGTTGGCATGTCAATTTTTCGCTGCCTGTGCACTAATACAACTGGACCAAATCAAAGTGAGACACTGCTCGGGAGCTTGTTATGATTCATACGTCAAACTTGTTTTAAGCTATGCAATTCATAATTTCAGCAACAGTAGAGATAATCCAACGTGCCCCTGTTTCTCATGATATCCAGCCGCATGGCACTCTTGCCAGAGGATATCACTCACAAGCAGAGGGGTTCGGAGTGCATATCTTGGCTGGAGGTCAACTCAACTCATCATTATCACCATCATTTAAGGACAATTTTAGTGAGCAGTCTAAGCGGTGACGTGGTCTCCACCATGGGGAAATGTGAAATTTTCACAATTCATTCATCAACCTGCACTGAACGGTGTAACCGGCTCGCCTTATCCCTCCCCTCCCGGTGATCGTAACGAGGGGACAGGCCGGCCAATAAATACAACAATAATAATAGACGAGTTCGGAGGCGATGAGTGGATACTCTGCGTTGTGTTCTGCCCTCCTCTTAAGGATGGAGTGACTCCACCACCGACAACTCAGGAGCATGTGTGCATCTGTAATTATGACCAGATACACACCGATCGACCCCACGTTACACAACACCTCACTGGTCAATCCCCGTACAGTGTCCATCAGAATTTGAATAGATGCCCTGAATCCATAATTGATTACTCCACTGGTGGACGCGTGGCATACTATGCAGTC